TATATATTACACTTAAAGCTGTAAAATGTATTTATAAAGATGTCTTGTGGAAAAAGTTAATTATATTACACTAATATCTATTTTTCCTACAATATTTTTCCCAAGGTGGTGCAAAGATAGCTCGACACTGCAGATAACCAAAATAAACACACTTATGAACACAGAATGACACCTAAAGATTACAAAAGATTTTTCTTCCTTGATGTCATTTATTAGACCAAACTTGGAGCACGCTGGAATTCTTATGGAAGTAGCTCACAATGAGAGGAAGTGACACGCAGCATTGTTTAAGTAAAGACGGATCAACTGGAATGGCATCACAGTATTTGTTGAAATTAGTGAGGAAAAAAACAAAACAGTAAAAAGGTTAATGGGAGTCAGGCTTCCATCAGTGAACACAGAACTTCAATATCAGAATGTCATGCAGAGTTAAATGTTGGAAGTAGCCTCGGAAGAAGGTTCTTCAGCGAGAATGTCCTGGAGGCCTTAAAGTGGCACAATCACAGGGTAGCTTTTAAAGCTTTTGTAGAGAACCAACAAGATGGTCTGACGTCAGAGCTGCAGATATAGGGACTTTGACAGCGTGGAAAAGTGGAAGCGACAGAGAAAAACAGAAGTGGAAGAAAATCATGACTTCAACCATATCTGGCAGAAGATGAGAGCAACCACAGATTCTAAAGCTTTGAAACACATATCGTATATAATGACAGCTGAACTTAATCTGCCGATGTGGACCATGAGATGTAGTCGTATTTATTTTTTTATCTTTTCCCACAAAGAAGAATTAACTGGATTGATTACATAAACATGCATTCAGATGTTTGGGGTTTTCTGTAACAGCTTTTTATTACTTCCATATTTTTTAACACAACAATGTTGCAAACGAAGGGTGACAAGGTGAGAAAGTGAAGCAGGCAGACAACATGAAAGAAACTCTACATTTCTAAGTGGAAATTGAGGTAAACAGTAACATATTGACCAACTGTCATTGCCATTTCAGATTTAACATTACCATACGGTGGTTAGTTAAATGCTGTCACGTTTGGTTTAACCTCCAAAAGCTACACTGTGATGGATTTTTTTTTTTACCACCCTTTGAAAAATCTGACTTGCCATGTGCTTGTATCCCAGTTAGCCACAATTAGCCAGTGTTTCATTTGGAAAAAAGGAAGCTTTGGTTGCACCAGCAGCACTGCTCTCCTCTTGTTTTATTCCATAAATCACTCGACCTGCTTTGTGCTTGATCCTGTTTGTCTTCCTTCTCTGCATCTGATACCTTCTCTACCTCAGCTTTCTCCTTTCTGTTTCCATCTTTCCCCCTTCCTCTTCCTAGCTGTTTTTATTCCCTCCTACACCTCCTCTTCCCTTCATCCTGCCAGCAGCTTCTGTCCTCTACACCTGAACCACCTGTTTCTCTTTCCTCACTCCTACATACCATGTTCCATTGTTTCCCATTCCCACTCCTTTTCTTTCCCCACATCAGCGTCCGATTCCTTCTACCCCTTCATTGCCCTCATCCTCCCCCTTATTTGCTCTCCTCCCACCTCTTTTTTCTGCCAGAACTTGACACCTATCCTCCTTAATAAGCTCTCTCTCCCCCCCCTCTCTCTCTCTTCCTGTCTTTCCCTTGCTCTCTCAGCATGACAACCTAATTAGGGCTTGGTGTCTGTCATTGTCTCAGGGTTTCTTATTAGCAAGCACACATATACACGCACACATTCACACACATAGACACATACACACAAAGAGGCACAGTCCCCCCTATCCTAATGGTGAGCCACCAACTGGATCCTATTATACTGCTGAAGGTTGTATCTAGAATTTGTAACCATGTACAGAAACTGCAACACAGGAGCAAGACAAACTCTACTTTCAAATGTGCTTATTGCCCTCGTACACATGTTTTTGTTGCTATAATAAAGAACAGGCGAGATGTGGCCTGTTGCATACAGTCAAAAAAACCATTTTCATGATTAATTAAAATTTTACTCTTGGAATTCAATCCTGGCATTAAGTGCAGTTCAGTTTACAAAAGTGAAATTAAATTTGATTTGACATTTGATTATTTTCAGCTGGATTGACATAAAAAACCAATAAAACTGTGTAATAGCTGATCTATCTTCGTACGATAACATGAATCCTCTTTGCAGTATATTAGCGTTTCAGGATACTGGGATATCTTTTGCAGATGGTTGCACATTGTTTGCCATGGTAACATGAATGTATTTATTTATTTTGAACAAATATGGATAAGTATATGAACATATAACAGTTTTCAGTGTAGTTTTCATGTAGTGTGTTCCTGTAATGTGTGCCCATTTAAAATAATCTTTGCAGAATATTTAATGTGTTAAAGAAATCTTAGTGTTAGCACAAAATACTGTTAGCTGTTAACTAATGCTAAGAGCTAAAGGTTAAGCTGTTAATTATCCAGTAAGAGCATGGACTGTTTGTAAAAAGAGTATATACAGCAGTGCCTCATTTATCGCGGGAGTTATGTTCTAAAAATAATCCGTGATAGGTTTATTCTTTACAATTTTCATAGATGTTTTAAGGCTGTAACACCCCTCACTACACGCTTTGAACACTTCTCAGACAGGCATGAACATTTTCACACTTCTCTCATTTAAACACTCTCAACCTTCATAGAAAAATAAGTCCATGTAGAATGAAACCAAAGATCAAATCCTGTTTTCAGGTCCACAACATGGGAATAGAGCAACTGCCAGAGAATTCAACATTAGTGAATCAATGGTACGGAAGTAGAGGAAGCAAGACGAATGAGCTGAGGAATGTTTGACTTATCTGAATGTTTTTGTTTCACTTAATGCGCCTTTTAATCCGAAAAATACAGTCACTTCTACCTTCCTTTAGCATCTCCAGAATTCCAACATTTTGTGCGATGGTTAGCATCTTCCTCTGCCTTCTGGGAGCTACCACAGGTGTCTTTGATGGTGCAAAACGTTTCGTCGACATTGTTGTGTTTGTTGGGGAGAAAACTTATAAACAAACAGTACAGCACTTCAGAGTCACTCTGCTAGCGATCAAAGATTTATGTAAATTTGAAAAGCTGGACGCTTTCTGTACTGTACAGGAGACACGGAGGAGATTAATTGACAATGGTCTACAGCCAAACAGGACGCAGAAGATAATGCGCTGTTAAAAAAAAAGCGAAAGGTGAACCGCGTTATAGCGAGGGATCACTGTATAGGTTTTGTGCTCTGCATTTTAACATCTTGGTGTTAGTATTTTGGCC